CCATTCATTCCTGAGCCATTAGAAAGCAAACCCACTGTTTATGTTCACTGTTAAGTTCTATCTATCTGTTATCAGCATGGCTATCATATACTAATCCTTAGAGGATTGCTTTAAAAGGATAAAATAACAAAAATAATGAATTTTATTTGGGAAATTTTGATTTTGAAGTGTTTGTAAAAGACATCCATGAGGAATAACTCTAAGGCATTTGGAAACGTTGATCTTGAACTCACAAAATGAAGTAGCTTAGGGACATACTTGAGTTTTGAATCATTTTCATACATTTAAGTTGAAAAGTTCACTGAAAAAAAGGATTTTGTGGCCAGATTACGAAGGGTGTTAGGCATTTATTAATGGAAAGAAACATAATCATTTTATAAGCAAGGGACATTAGGCATATCCCTGCCCTCAAGGACAGCATGACTTTAGCTATATTTTATTATTAAAAGACATCTGGTGGTGTTCAAAGGATGTAAAGAAGGGGGTATGGAAAGGTCTGAAAAGAGATACAATAAAGTCTACAAGCACAATCATGGAAATGGAGATTGATGTATAGCACAGTTAAGAACAAAGAGAGGAACAAAATGCCCCTTATAAGAAAATGGAAATAATCTTTTGGCTTTATAAGAGAAAGTTTTCCTCGTTTATTTAGTTTACTCTAGAGAGGCAAAAGAAAGAAATCTGAGTGACATCGCAGAATGCTGGACTAAATTTGAAGAAATGGGGATTTTTATGAGCATGGGGATTTCTAATATTTACTTTTAAGTGGCTTGTGTTGCTGTGATATTAATATGGTGGATTTTAGATTTGTGGTTGTTTATTTTGTTCGCTCTTTTGGTGGCAATAAAGGAAATAGACTGGGTTTGACACAGATATACATGGTATAACAATAATAATCCATAAACCAAACTGAATCAGCAAAATCGAAGCTCCTTCTGTATATGGTTTAAGGTTTGATGTAGTTTCATCCTGCATCTCAAATGACCTGGGCTACTTGAGTTTTGGAGCAGCAGAACGGTGTGTGCTCCTGGCTTGAGCAAGACGAAGGAGAAATACATATTCCCTCATAGCCTCAAGGAGCTATCCTGCTAAGCTTGCCAAGCTGAGTACATAAACACCAGCTAGAGAAATGTAAACCTGACACAAAACCTTAACCCTCTGACAAAACACAAATTTAAATGTCCAAACACTGGCTGCTGTCAGCCCCATAACAAACCATTGTTTCCTTGCACCAATCCTCAGGCTGTAGAAAGGCATTGCTAAGGTACCAGGTGACCTCAGTCAGATGCAGCATTCACCCAGGGGTATAGAGCTCAATAACACATAGTCCCTATCCCTGGGAAGCACATGGTCTGCTGGGAAGGGGAGCTATTTTAACTGAAAAGCAGTACAATGGTGAAGATATGAACTGAGTGATGCAGAACACTCCAGAGGAAGAAACACTGACTCTTTGGAGGGTCACTATAATATTTGTTTCCCTTTGCCCTTCCAGGACCTCCTCTTCAACCTAAGACATTCAAGCGATGAAGCTTTTGACTCCTGAAATTCCAGACATTAGATCTCTATGAAGAAGAATATTTTTGCAGATGATTCACACATGTTAAAGTTAGCATGGTCCTAGTGTAAAAAGGGATTTCAGCTTTCTTCTAGCTGCTTTAGATGTGTTAAGTCATGTAATTCTCCTGTTAACTCTATGAGGCTGTTATTATTATTGCTACCTTATAAATTAGGAAATAAGGGCACAGATATCTAAACAAATAGTTGGAATTCAAACTTTTATCTCTGCCTGATTCCAAAGTTCTCATTTTTTCCCATTCTGACTAACTTAATCCCCTAACATGGGATTCTGACACATTTCTTCATTGTAATAGACAGTATGCTCATTGTAACACCTAGCCTAAAATAAATATATACATACGTATGTATCATTGTACATACAGACACATATATAAAGCATCATTTGTTATTAGGCAAATTCTAATTAAAACCACAATGAAGTACCACTATACACAGAGAATGGTAATGAAAACAAAACAAAAACAAAAAAAATTAAAACCTGACAATACCAGTGTTAGTGAAGATTTGGAATAGTTGGAATGCTCATTCCTTGGTGGTGGGAACGCAACAATGGTTCAACCACATTGTCAAAGTTTGGCAGCTTATTATGATATTAAACATGGACATGTACAATCCACCAACTTCACTCCTAGGCATTTTACATAAGACAAAAGGAAACATTTGTCCACACAAAGACCTACATGTGAATGCTTATAGCAGCTTTCTTCATAAATCCAAACTAGAGATAATACAAGTCTATGTGCTGATGTGTAAATAAATGATTGTGGCCCATCCATACAATGGGTTGATACTCAAATGTAATAAGGGAAAGAACTACTGATGCATGTAACAATATGGAGGAATCTCAAAAGCATTATGTTAAATAATGAAAGCCAGACATAAAAGGCTAGACGATGTATAATCCACTAATATGACTTTCTAGAAATGACAAGACTGTGGGGGCAGAAATCAGATCAGTGGTTGCCAGGGCATAGGGTGAGAGAAAGGAATTGAATACAAAGGAACACACAAAACTTTATGGAGTGATAGAAATATTCTGTATCTTGGTTTTTGTGGTGGCTTCATGACTGTTCTTGTTTGTAAACATTTGTACTTGCACTATAAACTAAAAAGGATAACTTTTGGGTTACGTACGATATACATTATCTTAAAAAGCATAGAACTGTACACCTAAAAAGGATAAATTTCTCCCTCAATAATCCTTGTAACACACATACACACACACACAATCTTTCTAGAAAAATGAATTTTGATACAAAACCAAATGTTTATGTTTACTCTCTTTGAGCCATTCCTGCTTTGGCCCTTTCACAAATCCCACCCATAAGGTACCATCTTTTATGGCAGATTTTGTACTGTGAATAAGGATACCAGAAAACAATGTTAGTAATTTGTTCCATTCACCAGCACCCTGTTACAGACACAGACAAAGCATCTGAGTGTGAAAGGATTTGAGCCTATTACCAAGATTGATGGAAACCCAGATGGGGGACTCCTGAAGAACTAAAAGCTTCATCTGAAATCCAGTGGAAAACAATTGTCTGAGAGTCATGTGAAATGCTATAAAAGCTAAAACTTATAACTAAGTTCTACTGCCTTCTGGGCATGGCTTGACAGCCTTGTGGGGTCTGAGAGCAGAGGCCTGAGAACAGAGATTTATGCCACAAATTAAGCTCCTAAAACTCCAGTGGAATATTTTCTGAGCCCCTTGGCCATATGTAACTGCAATGCTGTCACTACAAGAGAACATTCTAAAAGTGATGTGGGATGGGGTGCAGGACAGAGAGTATTTAATTGAAAAAAAAACTTTGTAAAAATAAAAATAAATTTAAGAGCTATTTTGCAATTCTAAAGCTTGCCTCATGTCCCAATGATGTCTGAACATGCTTGGGGCCATCATTTAAATTATTTTTTCTCAACCAGTGGGGTGTAATTTTTAAATTACTGAATATGTCCAAAGATAATCATGTTTTTCATCTGTGGAAAATGCAAGACTTTTTCTGAGAAATTCTACTTGCCCTACCTATTACTCATTTTCTAAGTCAGCTAAGACCTTTGAGGTTAAGAGACATAAAAAGCATAAATAATGACAAGGAGAAAACTTAAAAGAACAGGGCAGAACCAAAAATTCTGTCCCAAATGTGTCTTAGTAGAACCAGGTACTGTGGTATTATATTATTGAATAGTTCATGCGTTTTCAATTCGCTATGTTTTTCTCCGTGTTTACAGGTTATTCTGCAGGGTCATGTAAGCTAGCAAGAGGAAACATTTATTTAGAGCACATTTGAAAGAGAAAGAACTATGAACAGTGAATAAACAGGTGGAGACAGGTATGTTACAAAACTCTATGCATTTTGAAAGCCTATATCAATATGGCTTTCAAACAGGGCTTTCTCGCTAACCCCAGGGGCAAAATTTCAAAATATAGGCTTTGCTGCAATATTTATCTAATTTCTCATCACCTGACTAAAGCCAAATCCTAACCACAATAATTGGTCCATTAAATTATTAAAAGATGTAGTTCTAGCAGCTCTAGCAAATGAATCATTGAGATGTATGCACACACATTCATGGCCCTCTTGGCTACACATAAGCAAACAAAATAAACAGAGAAAGCAGAATGGGTGTAAGAAATTCCCACTATAATCAGTACAACTCTCCATTCTTAATGCATACTAAAGGCTAAATTTATATAAATGGTTGTAAGAAGAGTCAAATATCCTGGGAACCTGCCCTGTAGAAAGACTAATATTTCCTTTGGGGTCTAAGTGAACAGTTACAGAGGAAATTGGGAGAGAGGTACTTTTCTTTGTGCAATTCGTTTCTGGGACTCGCCCTATTGTTTATTTTTGCCTATCAGCCTCCTTAACTTGAAGTGTTTAAGTTTAAGGAGTTTAAAGTTTAACTTTTCCTTTCCAGTCGTTTTTATTTCTTCTCCAACTTTTTATAGTTTAATCTCATCATGTAGCTTGAGGGTTATGAAAAGCCCTTTTCAAGACACAGCAATAGTTAGTGTTCTCTAAAGGAGCTTTTGGAGAGGATGAATATAGATATCAAAGAAGTGGGGCGACGGACGAGGCCCACAGGCACCTCCACCAGGCACTCAGAGACCTCGTCCCCACGCTGCGAGGGCTCACTCAGCCACAGTCGGCATGTCCAGGCCCTGGGACGTCCTACTTGAAAGGACAATGGACTTGGCCTGAGGCTGTCACCTGCGCAGACCTTAGCTCACTGTCAGTGTGATGCCAGCTGCTCCAGGTCCTGGCCCTTGCCTCCTCGCCCCGCCCCTGCGCTCGCCCCGCCCCTGCGCTCGCCCCGCCCCTGCGCTCGCCCCGCCCCTGCGCTCGCCCCGCCCCTGCGCTCGCCCCGCCCCTGCGCTCGCCCCGCCCCTGTGATAGCCCCGCCCCTCGCCTCCCTTAGGCTCCGCCCTGAGGCCGCTCCCGCCTGGCCTGCCGGGTAGGGATCCGGCTTCCGGTGAACTCTCGCTCCTGAGGTCACAGCGTCGTGGCCCTGTGGCTTGGCCTGGCCTGCCAAAGGGCGGGACCCTTAGCAATGGCACCGCCCGCCTGTTAAAAGCTGCAAAAAGGTCGTTGGTCTTTCTCTCTCTGGCCCGCCGCGTCCAGCCCAGCGCTGCCCACTTGGCCTCCTCCATGGTTTCTGCAGGTTTTTCTGGGATCTTGGATGACCCCACTGTCCTCCTGGGGTTCGCTTGCAGCTCAGAACCCTGCCTTTAATGATGCCAGTAAGGGTAACCGAGTATTTCACTGTGACACAGATTGTTCGTGATCTGAACGAGGACAAAGGTTAGACCTTGATTCTCTTCCACCCTTGTACGCAAGAGGAACGAGCCTGCTTGTCCAGGATTGAATACAATGCCAGTGCTCTAGTTTGAACCCCATCCGCATGACCTTTACTCAAGAAAGCGGCTCAGACTGTTAGGTGGGTGAGGGAGCAATAATGTAATTTGCAGATCGTTACTTTTAAAGTTACTTATAAATCGTTTGTGCTTTACATGAAGATGAATGCTAAACAAGATTGAAAACACCTGCTGAAACAATGTCAGCCTGTGTGAAATAACCATGTCATCAATAAAAATGCAAATATGCTTATTTTCTTAATTTTTGCCTCCGTAAGTATTCATTCATAATAATTACACAAAGAGTATAGTTTTACTTGGGTTAGAACTACTAAAAATTTAAAAATTTTCTCTTTGAGTTTTCAACCATAATAGACACAAAAAATTTGTGTCTCTAGTAATGGCAATAATTAACCTATTATTTGACTATGTCTTAATTTTGAAAGGGATTACTACTGATGGATGGATTTCCTGCACAATGCCGGCTCCTTTATATATATCTTTTCTGATATGTAGTTTCCTTCTGCCTGAATACCAAGTGCTGATTGGATGAGAGTGGTCACAGGGTTCATGAGTCAAACTTGTCAAGAAGATTCAAAATTGTAGCTGGGAAGAAGAAGAAAAACAACTGTATCAAATATGAAGAGCAAGGCGAGGACTGAATGGTAGAAAGTTAAAAGCAAAAATAATAAGGGAAGGTAACTAGAAATGAGACTGTCTTTGTCTTAGTGTAGCACCTGGCCTCTTTTGGAGGCATGTGTCATAGCTTCAAGGAGTGATGGTGAACAAAAGTTAAAGTGAAAACGCATGATAAATATCTCACGGCATCAGCCTTTGTTGGATAGATTTGACACTTGTATAGTTGATGTATAAAATCTCTAAACTCTCCCCTTAAAATATTGATCCATTTTCCCAGTTCCATCTTCTGAGACACCACAGAACAAATCTATTCTCTGAACAAGTGAATATTTCATATATCAAGATCAGCTGGCATCTCTCCTTTTAGTATACCTCAATACAATTGCACCAGGTCCATCATATATTTAAATTACAAAATAATCTGTAGAACTTTTAGCATTCTGGTCTTTTTCATTTTCACAAAAACTCCTTAAAGTCACAGTCCAAAATTTTACAAAATACTTTAGATGAGATTTGAGAACTCTGAGTTCCAAGAGCTCTGTTATCTGGACCATAAATTTATATTAATATTAAAAGTTTCTGCTATTATGTTCACTTTCTTAGCAACTGTACCATATCACTAGCTCACATCAACTTGAGGGGAAAATATATATATTTGGCGGGAGATTGCCCAAACTGATCAAGTAGGTCTTAAATTGGAAATTTGTGGAGGAAGGTGAATTACAACCTAAGATATAGAGTGGGACAGTACAGCACAACTTACAGAAATTCCATAGAGTTCTTGAACAATACCTGTGACTTCAGCTGAGCTCATCAGAATTCATACAAATCTTCAGTCACTAATGTTTGGTGGGATGAGTCTTAGGTATGAACGACAACAGTAGAAAAGGAGATGAGATATGTTTTAAAGGAAAGAGATCTAATATGCAAAGTGGATTGTGCATTAAAAGTACATTGATATTTTAAACAGCAGTTTTTAAAGGATATTTACAAATAGAAGGGGAAAATGTTGCTGAGAGACTGCACAGACTGCTCTAAGAAAAAGAAGATACAACTGATGCTTTCCTAATATAGATTATAACTCTAGTACTCAGGCTATTAGTGTCAGAAACCTTATCTTTCTCATCTTTGAATCCCCTTTAGATTTCAGCAAAATGCTTTTTGAATAGAAATTAGTCTTCTATTGGTAGTGTCTTTCTTCTCAATGCTGAACAGTTGATATATCTTTGATGTATCCAGAAGAATCTTTTATGATTCAAAAGCTAGAAGAATCCACAGGGGAATGGTTTATTGTGGCCTTGAATCCAGACAACAAAATAGGCCAGAAGAGCTAACATTCATCAAACTCCTCCAATAGAAGTACAATTATTAGGCCTATTTTTCTGATGAGGAAACAAAAACTCAGATTAATAATTGTCCCATAGGCAGTAACTATTAATGAGAGAGAGTGGAAACCCTGGCTTCAATGTCTGTGCTCCGTTGAATCCACCATGCGTTCCTTCAGTGACTAGTGAGAAGAAAATGAGAAGAGCCTTGGAAAACACACATTCATGTTCATCCAGTGAGAAGAAAGCTGAAAGAGCATTTAGGGCATATGGCTTCTGGGAAAAGTTTACTCAGATTTAAAAAAAAAAATTAAAAAAAACAGTGTATTTATCCAAAGAGAAAGCCTAAAGAGAATGCCATGTACCCCTACGGATAGTATCAGGAAAAGCTCAGAAGAAACTCACTGATAAAACTGCAAAATGCAACCAAATAAATAAATAATAGTCTTGCACTTACTCTTAGAATAAAAAAAATGGCAAAGGATGGATAGCCCCATTGTTTGGATAAGGTTGTATAACATCACACAATTTAAAGAAAAGATATGCAGTTTAGCCCCTATTTGTTTTTATCTCTTCCACTAACTTAGCCTTCCGAATTAAAATTACATAGCAAGCATTATTAAGAGACTATTGTTATGCAGAATGCAAAAGAGTAGAATAATCCAGCACTAAAAAAACAGCACTAAGAAAGGTCTTGATAAGTTTTCCAATCAGGTGTTAACAGAACTTGCAAATGTGATTATGGAATCTTTTTCAGTGTTCATGGAGATAACATCAAGAATGAGAGTGATGCCATAAGACCAGACAAGGAAAAATGTACTTAAGGAGCCCCAGCTGTACTTAAGAGAAGGAGGTAGGGACAGAGACTTGGAATTGGGTCTTTTCTTTTTTTATAATTCCCACAACACTGGGCATACTGCCTAGCACATCATGACATTTAATAAATGTGGTTTTTTTGTCCTAAATGGGAATAATTTCCCAATTCAAACACATATGAAACAAGTATAGTGTCATATAGTTGGCATGATTTGTAGAGTGCTTTCAGTTTATAAAAGAGAAGGTATTATAAACCTAAGATATCAATGTAAATCACAAGTGTTACTATTATTATCACAATTAATAATATATTTTCAGCCCAGCCAATATTTCCCGTGGTTACCATTTTCCAGATGCTGTGTAAAACACCAAGGGCAGAGAGATAAATGAAGCATTCTTTGTTCTTAAGTTTCTCACTGTCTTGAGCTAATAACAACCAGGCTGTGACTTAGCAGAGACCTTTGTCTTTAGGAAAATATGTGTCTATGAAGAGGCACAGTGTCTGTCCTAGGCAATAGCTACTCAGAGGTGAATGTATGGATTATTAAGATACATAGAGAGGCAAGTGAGGATTTCATCTGTGAATCCTCTAAAACATCAGGATGCTGGTTCTTAGAGCTGCACATGCTGAATGAGACAAGGTAGAGAAAAGCAAAAAAGATAAGGTTGAGTGTTTATTCTGTGCCATGCACTGTTCTAAGAGTTTATATGTACTACCTCATTTAATGCTAGGCAGTATGCACACATTACTTTTTGTAAGCTAATAGGAAAAAATATTTGTCGTGATGAAATATTAGATTAAAGGTTCCCAACATGGAGGGAAATGTGCCTATGGGAAATACCTGGGAATAATTTTGTGTTTGGCAAGATAGTGAATGAACATAATCCTCTAATTCCCTTCCCAACCGAACATTGTAAATGCTGCATATACACTGACTCCATAAATACAAGAATCTATTGCTCCATCCTGGGAAACCTCTAGAAAGAGAAGGTGAAGTCAAATGAGGGGTGATACAGCAGCCCAGGGAGAAGAAAGTCCAGGGATGACGGAGGGGAGGGTGAGACCTTTTTACTGTGCATGGTGTATGGGTTTGTTTCTGCACGCTCCCCTCTCACACACAGCACTGAGTGACGGTATCACTGCCCTCCTTCATGCTACTTTGAGACAGAAAACAGGCAGAACCTGCCCAGAGCAGGCCAGGAATTATTCCCTGTAACGTCTGGAGTTAGCGAGTGGATTATAACAGCTGCAGTGGATCTAGCAACTCTTCAGGGTTCCTCCCTCATTATTCCCCCATCCACCTCAGGGTCTAATTGATGACAAGGAAGAGACACAGCTTTTGGAAGAATCAATGCCTGCATGGGGGTAAGGGAGATTTTCTGTTGGACCGTGTCATAAATGTGTTAAGGGTTTGGTCAACAAGGAATGATGGAACCCAGCTTGTCAGGAGAGAGTCTTTTGTCAATAAGCCCTGACTCAAACCCTACACTTTTAAGGACAGGCACAAGTGAGGGACTAGAGTCCCTCCCTATGGGTGTACTTTACCAGCTAAGGAGATATGAGATCCTAAGGAATAATAACAAAACCTCTGAGGGATACAACTCCTTTAAGTGAGACAGAAAAACTGAACAGCCTATTCACATGAAATAGAATTGTCTGGAAAGAATAACTTTTTTAAAAGTCAGCACAGTAAGTTTCTTAAAGAGGTAAGAAAGAATATTGATGAAAAGAAATGAGAATAAATAGTTATCAAGAACCAAATGCAAAGATTAAGTACGAAACCACATAGCAGATTAAAAACTCAATAAAAAGGTGTTGAAAGGTGGAATGGGTACAGCAAAAGAATGAATAAGTTGTCAAATCTGATGGATAAATTACAAGCCAACAAGAAGGAAGAAAGAAAGGAAAGAAGGAAAATTTTAAATAAAATTTACGAGGTATGAAGGATAAGGGTAGAACTATCAGCATTCATAAAATAAGAGTCTCAAAAGGGAGAGATAAAAATAAATGGAAGGAAGGAAGTGATTGTCAAATTAATTATAGAGATTTTACCATAATTTAATAAACATGAAATATCTCAGGTTGAAAGGGCTGACAGTGTGAAGGAGCATTGTTAAGGAAGGGGAAGAAAGTCAGTGTCCAGATCTATTCAAATAAAACTTAGGAACATCAAAAATAAAAAAAAAAGTGAGCAAAGTTATAGAATAGGGCAATAACATAGTATGTTTTTAACTGGTAGACATATAGAGAAATTTATTTCCAACAAATGGAGGTTCCACACTGTTTTTGAACACAAATGTAACCCTTTCCTTCATACACAAACTATGCACCAGATTATAAGGAATCAGTCACATACAGACTGCTTTTGTAAAGGCAGTAAAATTAGAAATCGATAATGAAATAGTAGTTAAAAACTAAAAAGTATATTATTTAATAACTTTTGTATTGATGACATCATAGAAAAACTACAAATTTCTTAGAATTGAATGAAAAAGAAAACATGTCAAAACTTCTAAAACATAGCTAAAGAAGCATGTAGGTAGAACCTGAAAGCATTAAATATATTTATTAAAAAATAAGAAATGTAGAAAGCAAATGAGCAAAGCTTTCATCTTAATATGAAAAAAAGTTTCAGGATAAAATCAAAGATATAAGAAAAAATGTTAAAGATAATGGCAGATATGACATAATGAAAATAATAATGACACAATGAAAATAATAAGGAATATTAATTAAAGCAGAATCTTTTAAAATAGATAAAGTAGAAAAATGTGACATAGAGGGAAAAAGTAAAAGAAATATAAAAATATGAAAAAAGAAATTATAGACAACCATACAATAATATAAAAATTAAAATTCTATGAACAATTATTTGTCAATATATTTAAAAGTCTGTTAAAATATATATTCTCTCTACCATAAAATTGCCATTATGACACTAGAAAAATAGAGAAGCCACTGAAAAATTGAAACAGTCTTCAACCTTCTTTTTTCCTAACACAGCAATTTCAGGTGGTGTTTTATGTATGTTCTTTCAAACTTTCAAAGAAAGATAATCTTTGTCTTATATAAGAGAATTTTAAAAACACATTAATATGGAAAGTTTCAACTTATTTTACATGGCTCATATAACTTTGATACCAATGGTAGATATAGTTAATATAGGAAGATAAAGTTAATAAAAGAAACAAAATGTAAGATCTGTTTCACTTATTAAAATACATGTAAAAGCCTACATAAATGTTATCTTATTAAACCTGGTATTATATTACAATATATTACGATCAAGTTTACCCCAATAAGGCAAGTATGTTTTGTTGTGAGAAAACCAACCAACATAAATTTATTATATTAATGGACTATGAAAGAATGTGATTTTCTTAAAAATTTAGAAAAAGCATTTGATAAAATTTAACATATTTATAAGAAAAAATAAAAAAACTAGTTTTTAAAAAACCATCTTTTGAGTTAAGAAAGGCTTTTATCAATAAGTTGGATGAAACATTCAACTTAATAAAAAAGTTTGGATGAACCTACTTTACAATTAAGGATGAAATGAAGATGCCCATCATCATCACTGTCATTCAAGATGTTTTCAAAAGACCTAGACGATGCAATAAAATAAGAAAAAAAAAAAAAAGAGGTAAAGATCAGAAAGGATGATGCAGACTCTGATTATTTATACATCATATGATTGTTATTTCCCAAAGAAAATTCCTTGAAAGCCACAGGAAACCTTTAGGAAAAGCAAAGTGGTCAGCAAAATAACCATATGTACAAGATTAATTTATAAATATTGTGTCCCCCCCATTCCAGCAATAGTATCATAAGAAATAGAATAGAAGATATGATATAATAATATTATTATTAAAAAATCTGTAAAATAAGAAATAAGCTATAAAATACATTAAACAATAGAAAAGAATATCTGAATGATCATAATCATGGTTAGACTGAATGAATGAATACTGATTAATCTATAAATCTATAATCTATAAATTCATGTCACTTCTTATAAAAGCTTTGATAGGATATTCTTAATAACTCTTACAAACTTACTGTAAACCTTTCAGGTAAAGTACAAAATCATATTAGTAAACAGTGTGACATTGGTAGAGGAACACAGTTCAATGAAAAGGGTCTATGGACATGTTGAAATGTATTATATGAAGTAGATAGCACAAAAATCAGCAGAAAAAGGGTAGATTCTTTAGTAGATTCTATTGTAAAAATTCACTTTATAGAGAAAAATAAGTTTGGATATTTCAATTAAAGAAAGGAAAATACAGGAGGATTAAATACTTAAATATGATAGGCATAAGTATGAATCTATTAGAAAAATTTAAGTCAATGGTTTTGTGATCTTAGTATGAGGAAGGACATCTACGTGCACCCAAATGCACTAACAACAAAGGGAAAAAGGATGTTTTTGACATAATATTCAGAATTTCCATCTAATAGAATTATTGTAGGCAAAGCAAACAGAAGCAACATACTGGAAATGGAATTTACAACATCTAGAAAATAAAAGTTTATGTGGTCAAAGAAATTTGGAAAACCAAAAAAATATATATACCATCCAATAGAATACAGGTCCATGAATAATGATAGGTGACTCATAAAAAGGGAGTCTTGAGTGACTAACAAGTACATGAAGAAGTGCTCAGCCTTGCTTTTAATGAGCAGCCCGTCTAGGGGGCAGTCGGGTGATTCTAGGTGAACCTAAGTATGAGACATTCTATGATGCAGCCATCTCTCCCCTCAGCATATTGGCCAGAGAAATACTTACTTATAGTTGTTTATGGTAGTGGGTACTGGTAGCAACCTGGATTTCATCCCCAGGGGATAGAAATGGATAAATGAAATAAATGACTTGGATGTGTGTACACAGGCTATGTAATTGTACACAGCCAGTAGAAACAATGAATGAGCAAATGAATTGCTCTGAATACACAGCAACATGTATAACTGTTAAAAAGGATTAGTGAATTATGAAAGCTAAAGCATTAAATCTATCAAATGACATATTTATGAAA